CCTGAGTCACTGTCATCACCTCAACCTTCATCTCTCTCTAGATCTCCATATCCAAAACTGTCTTTGCTATCTCGAAATCATCCATCCCAATATCTGCATTCAGTCGTCGCTCCAGCACATCGACTTCCAATGGCCACCTCGAAACTTCACACTCTGTTCTCGCCTTAGAACATCTTCTCAGCTACTAGAGAATCCGGTCACTCTACATAAACTGTCATAGCTCTAGCACCCTTCTCATCTCTAGGCTCTCCTTGACACTCCACCAGTTTTTGAACACCGTCCAACTCTCTCTTTACAACTGATCTCTCACTCCTCATTTAAGACACAGTAGATCTATTGAATGTAACCTATCTACTGATTATAAACTCGGGTGAATCCTCATCTGTTCACCACATCCTATGTCCTTTCACCCCATGTGCATTCCTAGTGGATACGTACGGTGAGTTACCTGGTGAATAGATCCCCATCGATTACGATTGGACATCGGACTCTTTAAGAAGTGTGGTCAAGTAACATTGTTGATTATTTTGCTCTTAGAATATTTTGTTACTCATGTTATATTCGAGTAGGTGATGGTAAACTCGATGGGAGGGTAAGAAAGTGTATATTTCTGGGTTATGTGCACTTGTGGTGTTCGGAATTAAATTCACTTATTGTCAGCAGAGAAGTTACACTTACGAGCCTCCAATACTTCTGGGTAGGAGTGTTTATGGCAGTGTTCATATGGATCTGGAAGGTGTTCAACGAGATAGAGTTGCAACTAGAAACTCCTAAAGTAGAAGGCATTTGCATGGTAATCGACACGGGTGGTGCTTATAGCGAGGTGGAGCATGTGGAGACAACGATTGCTGTGGCTACCGAATTTGATAAGGTGCGTGTTCAATTTTCTGATAGATATGAATACAACAGTAGTTTTGCTTTATCCGTGATAGAGGAGGTTGTGTCGGAAAATCTTTGTAAAGTAGTTAAAGGTGCATGTGGAGTTGGTATCTTGATGGGATCCACTATTATGGTGAAGTTCAAGCGGTGCTTGGACTATTTTAGGATCCAAATCTTTTACATAAAAAGCAGGCTTTCTACATGAAGAGTATCCAAGATGCGACTTCTTCATGAATTACACTCTAAAGAATCCAAGAGTGTTGACGTCCCAAAATCTTGCGCTAAGATTTGTGAATTCCTTTGTTAGATTGATAAACTATTTCATGAGGAATTGTGAATGTTAAATACTGTGCGAGTTATTAGGTGTAATTGAGAACCGAGAAACATTGTATGTTTGGATGACTCAAGTGTGGTTGTGATTGCTATTATATCGATTGATCTATAGTGAAATTTTATGGTGCTCTTCCAGTGAGTTATTAGGTGTAATTGAGAACCGAGAAATACTGTATGTTTGGATAACTCAAGTGTGGTTGTGATCGCTAGATAAATCTAGTGTCCGATTTATTTTCTTATTCAATTTATCGTATTGTTTGATCACTTATTTCCACAACAAGTATGCACCTCCTTCCCCTCGGCTCCAACGTGCCATCACCCAATGAGCATAAGCAGGAAAACCAAGCACTCTCGTTCCGATGTAATCACTAGGCTTACGTGACCACTTTCCTTAGGAGTTCTACACTCAGTCGCTGGTGATGGTGAGTCTTGAGTCGAAAGTCCGGCCTACTTTGGGACAGATGTCCAAACTTCACGATTCAAATTAACAATAGTTACCCGACTTTTGGTGCTTCAATCTGGACGTCTGCCGCCTAACTTGGGACGTCCAAATCTTGTCCTCACGCGCTCCAAACCTTTTTGTTATCTTTGGGTATCCCCAAAACTCCAAATCGAGTTGATTCCAAAATAATTTAGATCTAAACTTCGAGCTACATTGAACATTTACATATAAATATATATTTTACATATGATACACGCATAAATCAGACAATAGTTTGGCCTGCACGGATTAACACAGCCACTCTAACTAGGCTTCAGAGCTTATAAGTGATTATTTCTAGTCATCTCTAACCAATCTCAGGTTTAGATCCATTTCCAGGTATATTCGCTAGTTGAGTGTTTACATCCTGGCAAGAGATCGTTTCATTTGTGTAGATTTGTCGTTTGGAAACTCAAAGGCTAGCATGGCTCGAAATCATCTCAAACTTGACTCGAGTTGAGCTTTCTCAGTTAGTCTCAAATCTGAGAAGTCTACTCTATAGCTCAAGCTTTTCAAGTTCAGATGATGCTAAATCTTTCATCTAGAACATCTTATCAGGTCAAACTAATACAAATTAGAATTTTATTTCTATGGTTTGTTTTGACAGATTTTTTTTTTTATTTTTATGGTTGAAAAGTGGATATAGTTGTATAATTTACATGCTCTCAATGGAGCGCTCAAAATCAAACCTATGGATAATTTCCTAAAAGTTATATCAATTACTCAGTCTTCATTGCAGAAATAGTAGACAATGGACCTTATGGTTTTGTAATTTCTGGTAAAGCTATCCCTATACAGGACTACTATTACCAAAAGTACATACATCATCATAAAAAGCGGCACTTTGACTTCGCGCTCATTTTCCAGGTAACATCGAGTCAATGGGGACCGCAATTAGCTCATATTAGATCGTCTTGTGTATACTGAAACCGATCATGCAAGCTACAGCCCCTAAAACTCAACGATGCAAGTTTCAAAAGACGATCGGGAAAACTATCCAATTTAATCCTATTGTACATTTACCAATTTAGTCCTAAACCTTTTAATTATGCCAATTGAGTTCTAAACATTTTCACATTTTGCCAATTGAGTCCATCCAGTTAATTTTGACTGAAAATTGCTGACATGAATGACGACCGTCATCCATGGCATGACTTGCACTGACGTGGACAATTTTTTTATAATGTTTTAATTTTTTTGATTAATTTCTTTTCTTTTCTTCTTTTTTCCTTCTCTACTTTTTTCTTTTTCTCTTTTTCCCTCCGCCGGCCATCTTTGGGCCTCATCGATGGTCGGCAGAGATCGCCAACCTTAGGCAAGGGCGACCATTGCCAAGGGCCAGTGAGGGTGACCTTTGTTTGGGCAGGCAAGGGCAGCCCTTGCGCAAGGTCAATGGTGGGAAAAAAGAAAAAAATAAAAAAAGAAAAGAGAAAAATAAAAAAAATCAATAAAAATCCGAAAAAATTAAAATATTATTAGAAGTTTCCACGTCAACGCCACATCAGCAATTTTCGGCTAAAATTAGTTGGATGAAATCAGTTGGCAAAATGTGAAAAGATTTAGAACTCAATTGATACAATTAAAATATTTACGACTTTTTGAATAATTTTCCCCAGGATGATTTGATCTAAAGTGAGCTACTCATCAATCGTCATCCTTATCGACCTTACCCGTAGAAATGAGAGCACAGCCGGCGTGCCGTTTTGGTTGATGAGGTGGTCCTGGCGTGCACAGGGAAGAGTCGTTGCTCTAAGCAACAATTCTGGATTTGCTTGACCTCAATCTAAGCAACATCTTCCTGTCATCTCAATTTTATATACGGACATCCAACAACTGTCTTTGTCAAAATAGGGAAATTGGAATTTGGACCGTGATCCATTTCCACGTACGTTTCCCAAAATTGAAATGCACGAGTCTTAACGTTATCTATCGATAGTGTAGGCTCGATTCACCCGTGCCGCTAACTGCGGATAATTTCATTTTCGGTCGCCCGAGTTTTCTTTTATGACGTCTTGATACATTCTTGACATCAGTAAAGTATTTCATAAGCTCAGAGTTTATCTTATTGATATGGAATCTATTGTGATTCATCATCATAAGCTATTGTGACTTTGTGTTGGTTTAATTAGAGGGAAAGTACACCACAAGTCGTGAAGCTATTGTATTAACTACAGTTTTAATAATCTTTTAACTTTTTGACAAATCATTTAAGTTCTAGAATTTTTTAAAAGTAGCTTAATAAAGTACCTGAGACGAGTGTCGACAGAGGCGGCATCCTAAAATTTTCTGTTATTTTGCTCCATTACTCTCCCAAATGTAGAAATTTGTTTGCAATAAACATATCCATGAAATTAGGTCCTATTTTCGACGGTATTGAATGGATTAAACTTTTTTTTTAAAATTTGTGTTTATGCTCCCACCAATACATTATTCATAGTAGGTGTCCACTTCACGCTCCGACATCCTCCGACGGTCTTCCGAATTTGGCTAGATTTTGTGTCGGAAGGACTTAATTAGACATTCTGTTTAAGTAACTGGACTTGATTAGAAAAATCGAAAGTACAGAGATATAATTAGAAAAGTAGCGAAAAGAAAAATTCTTCCATAAATATATTTGTATGCAATTAGGTGCTACTTTGAACCATGTGTATATCATGAAATCACACTATTTTTCCAGTGTGGCCCTCAATTACAATTGTTACGAAGGTCTTTAAACTCGGAGAATCACGTCCTTACCATGTGGCAAGGTTGATGCAACCAAATAAAATCAATGTGCATCGAACAATTTGCAAGAACAATCACTCATGATACAATCAAGCAAATATTGAACGGCTTTTCATTGCACGGTGAAATTGACTATTTCGATATTAGACTTTTGATCGGTACCGACCCACACGTCAATCTCAATTCGGCGAAGTCGGAGGCAGAAGGACACAAATTCTATGATGACATAGGAAGAGTTGCGCAAGTTTAGGGGCTAAATGCATTCTTTGTCCCCTCATTTTCCAAAAGGGTATCTTGGAAGGTGGCCCTTCACCCCCAACAAAGCAACCTAATTGACCTAGTATTCGAGCCATCCTCGTTTCGGTAATAAACAATTCTGTCTCTACCTTATCCCGAAGACTCTCTCTCTCTCTCTCTCTTTTCTGAGAAAACAACATGTTTGCTGGTGCCAAAAGGTACCCATAGTAACGGAATCGAATGCTTTATGCACAAAACATCGGCATCGATCTAACCTTTGTTTAACCGATGATGTTCATCACCGGACAGAGTTGGAACCACAAACTACAAGTACCGTGCAAGACCCAGTTATGCGTCGGTCTCGGTTTCTTGCAAGACATCACAAACCCTACCCTTTCCCTCCCTTTCCCTCCACTCATATTTGCCCACAAACCCATCCCACACAACCTATAAGAACGACCACATCCTCTCCTACCAATCCAATCTACAAAGAACTTCATATCATACATAGAGATAGAATTGGAGCCGTTCTTGCAATTTCAAGACTTGGGGTCAGCATTAGCGACGGAGAAAATGGAGATCAAAGTGCGGGACGATAGCTCGACGGAGCAAAGCCTCCCGCTCTTGAACGATGAGCTCCTTCCGGATGACGCTGATAGGAGGAACGCGATACAAAAGGCTATGAGACAGACGTTTGAGAGCACCGCCCATTTGGCCAACCTCTTGCCCACCGGGACGGTCCTCGCGTTCCAGCTCCTATCCCCGATTTTCTCGAACCAAGGCCACTGCGACCCGGTCAGTCGGGCCATGACCACGGGCCTGGTGCTCCTCTGCGGCCTGTCCAGTTTCCTCCTCTGCTTCACCGACAGTTTCAGGGACAAGAAGGGAAACGTGTGTTACGGGTTCGCCACGCCTCACGGCCTGTGGGTGATTGACGGGTCGGACACGCTCCCGCCCGAGCTCAAGGATCGATACAGGCTGAGGTTCATAGACTTCGCGCACTCGCTCATGTCGGTTCTGGTGTTTGGCGCGATCGCACTTTTTGATGAGAACGTGGTGAACTGCTTCTACCCGGCGCCGTCGGACGAGACGAGGGAGGTGCTGACGGCGTTGCCGGTGGGGATCGGAGTCATCTGCACCATGTTGTTCGTCGTGTTCCCGACCAAGCGGCACGGGATCGGTTTTCCGCTTTCTGGCAATTGAACCCCACCACATCTAGAATCCTTGTCTTTTGAGACAATGCACAGTTGCAGATTTGAATGTGTTCATTCCTTAACATCATCCTAATTCCTTTCGGAGTGGATCATGTCTTCGAGAACAATAAAAGAATGACTTCCATCGCTTAGACAGTTTGCTTATTGCGAGTCTTGCGTATCATCGCTTTTGCACCGATAATATATATGGAGCGAACAAGTTGCCTGCACTTGGATCATGTGATGTGAATTCAGTTCGCATGAACGGTCAGATGAGGAGGGACCCACGTGGGACCTGCCTGATCCAACGGTTCATGTAAGCCAGGCCCATGTGATCTTGACGTAGGGCAAGATTTGTTTCTCAACGCATGATGAAATGATGCTGCATCGTACAAGCAAAAGGAACAAAATAGAAACGCGTCGCCTAGCGATACGCCCAAGCAAATATTAGCTTGTGCCAGAAATGAAGCTAATATGGAAAAGTGATGTCAAGGTTTCCGCATTTGTCCTCAAAAAGTTTCAAGCACATATACTGATGCAGATAGAAGCGATAACTTGAAAAATTCTTCTACGATTCAACTAGAATTCAATTCAATTTCATAATAATCTGAATACAAAGCTGGACGTCCTTTTATAATGATAGGACTCCTAAAGATATCCGAATTAACGAAGATAACATCAAAGCAAATCAAATCTAATATTATCTAATCAAATCAAATCAAATCTAATCTAATAAAATCAAATTTAATCTTATCTAATAAAATCAAACGAAATATTGATAATTGGAAATTGCCTAAAGTAAAAAACTGCCTAATCAGAAAAACTGCCTAGATTTTCGGCGATTACGGCGATCACATTCTTCAAGATAATCACAGGCTAACTGTTCTACATCATATACATGTATAAATGCGTATGTAATTCTTGAATTGATTTCGGCATCTTTTCAGGAAGCCTAGAGCAATCATCTTTCCGCTAATTACAAAATGATGGCTTATGAAGAATGAGGGAGGCTTTGCTGTTTCCTTCACTTGAAAGCGGGGAAAATTCTCGATTAAATCCTAAATTTATCATACCAACTCAATCTTAAACTTTCCAATTTTATCAATGTAGTCCTAAATATTTACGCGAAATTCCAATATAACCCTTCCGGTTAATTGCTGCCGGAAATCGCTAACACGGCAATCCACAAAGTTGTCCTCATCAAATCGCCTATCTTGCCATCCAATTTCTAGACAAAATTGGCCGGAATAACTACATTATAATTTTGTAAAAATATTTAGGACTATATTGACAAAATTAGAAAGTTTAAGGCTGAGTTGGCATCCGTAAGACTGATGTAGTAAATATGAGTGTACTAATAGACTTCAATTTGATGTGAACGGGCGCTTTTTCTTTTGAAGATATATTTTGCTTATCCCTCTTATCTATCGAGACTTTAAAGCTCGGTCTTTCTATCAAAATGAAACTAACTACCATCTCATTTTAGAAGAAAGGCATACAATTATTGATTTTTGCAATGACCAAAAAGTTTATACTAATCAATAGCATATGGGATTGATCATAATCTGTTAAGGTGTGGTTCATACTCTCCATTGATAGGAAGACAAGGGGGTCTCGCTCCCAAGTGAGCGGGTGGGGGTTGCGAGGGCAGCACTCCCGAACCGCCAAACGGTTTTTATAATTTTGGCCCATATTTTATTGGTAATTTCGGCTTGGGCCTATGAATAGCTGTGCTGCCTATATATATTATTTCTTTTTCTTGTAATTAAGAATTATAACAAAGAGATTGGATGTGCTGATTATAGTGGAATCCTCTGCTGGATGTGGCCATAGTTTAAGGGTGGAGCAAGATTAAACTTTGGGCAAAAGAACGCTACAAGTACCATAACTTGTGTACGGCGCTCACTTTAGTGCCATAACTTTTTTTTGGATCACTTTAGTGCTAAAATTTTTGAAAAACGATCACTTAAGTGCTAAAATTTTTGAAAAACGATCACTTAAGTGCTAACTCCGATGCCGTACGCAATTTTTTGCCGGAAATCTGACATGGCATTTTTTTTTATTAATTTCTGAAGCTGACGTGGCTCGCCGGAGTCTCGCCGGAGATTGGCACTTAAGTGATCGTTTTTCAAAATTTTTAGCACTTCAATGTTCGTTTTCCAAAAATTTTAGCACTTAAGTGATCGTTTTTCAAAAATTTTAGCACTAAAGTGATCCAAAAAAAAGTTATGACACTTAAGTGATCGTTTTTCCTCCGACTTGGCACCAAAGTGATCCGAAAAAAAGTTATGGCACCAAAGTGAGCGCCGTACACAAGTTATGGCACTCATAGTGTCCTTTTGCCTTAAACTTTGTGTCTCGATTTTTTTTTCTCACCTTTACTCTCTATTTCATTGTGTTTGTGCGCCTAATCCTAATAGAATCAACATAAAGACATGTCCGTTGTTCAAAAAATAGGGTTGCATTCTCACTTCGATTTTTTTTTTATAAGATAGATAGCTATATAGAGTTGTATTGACAAGAACAGCCCGAGACTTTTTGTACATGTATCTATGTACGACAGTAGAACTATTTTTCTTTTCCCTAAACAAATGTATAAAGAAGGAAAGTCTATGAAAAATTGTCACAATGTAGAAAATTGCCGATGACCCTTTCGACTTTGGCCAAAAAACCATCTAGAACTTCAATAAACAGATTGTCCGGGGAGGTGAATTAGTCAAAGTGCAAGAACATTGATCTGGACGCCATCCGATCGCTAAAAGTAAAAAGTAAATCTTTATTAACGCGTGCTTAATTAGAAAGTGACGGCAGATGCACGCAGGCGCATCATACCATTAATACACCTCCATTTTTAACTTAGAAGAGCAACAGTAGATAAACCATAGGTTTGATTAGCAAAATTTCTCACCACCTAGAAAAAATTATTAATGTATGCACAGATAACAATCATCACAGATTCGCAAGAACCCCGTTATGGCAAACCATTCCTACTCTTCTGTTCCCGCGATCCTCGTCACTACTGCGTGAATTGGCTGCATCGACGACGGCGAAGCCGATCCCTCGCCGATAAGTCGGAAAGATTAACAAGAACAAAGCGGAGAAGACGACGACCACCAGCTGTGCCCATTGAAGCAACGACCTGAGTCGACGCGATGCACGTGGGTAGAGGGTATCCATCACGCTCCGATCCGAAAACACTAGGACCGCGTAAACCGCCATGGACGTGGCGGCATGAACAAAATCCGATGGCCGAATTCCATGGCGAGGAGGACGATATGCGGTTTGGCTTTGTCGGAAGGTGACACGCCTGAACATGTAAATTTTGTGCGGTAAATACAGATCCCGATCACCGTAAATGACCCCGTAAATGACCCGTGCGAGGTACATGTTCAGAAGTCTCGATGGGGGTTTCATCTGTATATAAGCAGATATACACATGCCTGAAATAGACTCTGCCGTGGACCTTGGAGCTATCGGTGAAGCAAGAGGCGCAGCAAAAGATGCCGAGGACAGACACGAGCGTGGCGGTGACACTCTTGTTCGAGAAGCTGGAGATTACCAAGAACACCTGGAAGGCGAAGAACGACCTGATCCGCAAGCAATTCGCCAGGTACTGAACTAAACGGCATGCCAACTGAATGGGCTTTTCCTCCGGACGCCGGTGCAGAGGACGTTGCTGTGGATTCAACAGAAGCGGTGCCGATGGTTGCGACGGAGAACTTGGTAGGAGATGGACGCCGGTGCAGAGGACGTTGCTGTGGATTCAACGGAAGCGGTGCCCATGGTTGCGACGGAGAACTTGGTACAGGAGATGGGGGAGTCTCCGCCGGCAAAGGCGACACAGATGGCACTGCTTGCTGTCCTGGCAACGACGGTGGCGATGGTTGCATCATAGAACTCGGAACAGGAGATCGGGGAGTCTCCGCCGGCAAAGGCGATGCGGACGGCACTGCTTGCTGTCCGGGCAACGACGGTGCTGGCAGTTGCGACGGAGAACTCGGTACAGGATATCGGGGAGTCTCCGCTGGCAAAGGCAACACAGACGGCACTGCTTGCTGTCCCAGCAACGACGGTGCCGGCAGTTGTGATGGAGAACTCGGTGCAGGATATGGGGGAGTCTCTGCCGGCAAAGGTGATGCGGACGGCACTGCTTGCTGTCCCGACAATGATGGTGCCGACTGCCGGCAGTTGCAACGGAGAACTCGCTACAGGAGATCGGGGAGTTTCCACTGGCAAAGGTGACGCGGACGGCACTGCTTGCTGTCCGGGCAACGATGGTGCCAGCAGTTGTGACGGAGAACTCGGTACAGGATATGGGGGAGTCTTCGCCGGCAAAGGCGATGTGGACGGCACTGCTTGCTGTCCCAGCAACGACGGTGCCTGCAGTTGTGATGGAGAACTCGGTACAGTATATGGGGGAGTCTCTGCCGGCAAAGGCGACGCGGACGGCACTGCTTGCTGTCCCGGCAACGACGGTGCTGGAAGTTGCGACAGAGAACTCGGTACAGGATATGGGGGAGTCTCTGCGGGCAAAGGCGACGCAGACGGCCCTGCTTGCTGTTCCATCAACGACGGTGCCGATGGCTGTGACATAGAACGCAGTACAGGAGATGGGGGAGTCTCCGCCGGCAAAGGCCACTCGGACGGCCCTGCTTGCTGTTCCGGCAACGACTGTGCCGACGGTTGCAACATAGAACTCGATACAGGAGATGGGGGAGTCTCTGCCGGCAAAGGCGATGCGGATGGATCCGGGTCCGGTGGATGATCCGCGAATTCCACGGGGTAATCGTCGGTGTCCAGCATGTAGTTCGGCCGGTCCTCGATCGCCGATAGCCAATTGCCCATTGGAAGTTCAAAGCACGATCAGTTTGGATGTCGCAGAGACGACTTTCGTTGATTGGTCGAAGTTCTTCGATTTGCGTAACTTTTTTGGAAGTTATCTAGTACATGACGAAAGAAGGCAGTGTTCCAAGGTAAAATTCCAAAAAAGATTTGAAATGAAATCATTTTCTCAAAAAAAAAAGGGTCCAAAATGAAAATAAGAGTACGAAGTTACTGCGTCAATCTTAAATAAGGATCTCAAGTAGATAAGTCGTCTCAAATAAGGACTTAAGCTCGCCGGCTGGCTAAATTTGTGTTGGCCGGCGTGCAATTGATTTTTCTGGCAACTGGAACAGGGCGTTTGAGCCAAGTCACAACTGCTTAGTTGGAATCTGAACTTCATCTCTATTCTCCCATGGCTCCACATGAGCTCAACAGCCACAAACATCTTCCAACTCCAGGCGGGACTTGAACTTCGCCAAAATTGCGGACTTCATCGGAACGCCAACTCCATTTGCACTTTCAGCTACTCCACAAGGATTCACAGACACAACCTCCTTTATCACCAATAGTACAAAACCACCATTGTGTCAGTAGATCAAACACGCACCTTATCAAACTTAGCTGCTACAATAACCATTGGCTCAATAAGCTCCACCTTACTACAAGCACCATTCGGGGTCAATTACTCACAAATACCTGCTATCGCAAGAGTTTTGGGTTGCAACTTCAATTTGAGCTGAACACCATACATATCTATATAAGCATTTGTTGACACCTAAATTTCGGCGCATCATTTAGTGGTTAATTGCATAGAAAATTAGGGATTAAATTTTAACCCCTAAACAAAAATATTAAAATTGCATAGCATATAGTTTAGGCTCATATAGATTAATTGCATTCCGCATCGGATTGGCGGTGGCAAGCGAGCTTAGAATTCGTCATGTAAATTGAGCTCGGACATCGAACGAGACTCGGCTCACTCGGAAGGCAAGGGCCGAAAATTACAAGTCAGAAGGGCTTGGTTGTCTTAATTTGAGCTTAAATTAGCCCATTATGCTTAATTAAATAAAAGCCCACATTAATTCAGCCCACTTGAAATTAAATGATAATTAAAGCCTAAGCCCATTAGGACTAGAAAGCCCGGCTAATTGACCTAAGTTTACATTATAAATATATCGTTATGTGTCATAATTAAAGGGGGCTCTCATAATTTCAGATCAGATTTTTAGAGAGAGAGTCGTGAGAGCTGGGTAACATATCAGAGAGAGAAAGAGACGATTCCTTGGAGGGCTTCACAGAGAAGACGACAAGAAAGAAAAAAGGTCTTCTTCCTTCCGGTTGGTCACGCAAGGCACACAAGATTTTGGCATGGAGAAGACCTCCACCAGTAACTTTCTCTCTCGGTCAAAGTCTACACACTGAAGAGACAAGACAGGCGACGACAAATTTACTGAGAAAGAGAGGTGAAGGACAAAGTGGACGTTCTGTTCATTCCGAAACAGAGAGTCCACAATTCCTTGCGGCTGTCCACGCGTCTCGCGGCCCCGCCATCCGTGTTCCTCCGCGTTCCTCCGATTTGGTGAATTGCACAACCGCGAGTAGATCATCCATCAAGCACCGCCGCTATTCCGATCGAGCGTCAACCATCAATCATCGTTCCATCGTGCCAACCACGACAGTGAATGAGCCCACCGTCGCCGCTTTACCATCCCGATCTCGCAATCCCGATCCGCTGCAAATTCAAATTAGGAAAGAAATCTGCAAATCAGGTAATTATCTTATCCCGATTTGATTTGAATATTTTGTTGCCTAATTTGTGCTTATTGATATCTAATTTTGCATATTCGAGTAATAAGCATGTTTCAATTAGGATTTATTTCTTTTTTGAAATCTTGGATATCTCGATCTTATCAAATTTGGATAGAATTTAGAATTTTCAAAAATCTTTTGAATATATCCAAAATATTTAAGATATCTAAATTTTTTCAAGATGTGATCGATTAGGAAAATTTCCTAATCCGCAATCAGACACGTGGAAATAAATCTATCTATCGGCTTTAGATAGAGTTATTTCCATAGCGGTATTTCGAATTTTAGGATCAATCAGTCGCGCTTCGTGATCGAAACTTAATTCGAAAGATTTAGCGGTTATATTTTTACTGGATTTTAATTTCGAATTTCGATAAAAAAAATACCAAAAATATTACTCTAGAATAGGTTAATTTCTTTAGTTTAAAATTGCATGTTTAGATAATTGGCATTTTAAATTCCGAATTTCATTAAAGAAAAAATACAAAAAATAATATGCTCGTCATTAGAAATAGGTCACGCTGTGCATGACATATAGTTTGCATGTTAGGTTGCATTAATCGCATGTCAATTTTTGCACGCCATTACATATAGGTTAGCTTTCATTTAAATAAATAAAAATCAAAAAAGAAAATTTCTGCACCTTTGAACTCTAAGTCAGGATTTATCAAAATTGTCAAATTGAGTATTTTTCTTGAAATTGGTACCGAAAGGGCGTTAGGAATCTAGCGTAACGAAGTCCCCCGAATCCATAATTTCTGGTTCGCAGAAATAAAATAGTACTCCCGCTATTTTATTTAGGTTTTTAATCAACCTACCTTAAATGATTAGTGGCGACTCCTATTGAAAATATTCACATTTCACGATTGGACCTAAGTTGCGATTTGGTAGAGTTTGGGAGAACTCGAGCTAGGTTAGTTAATTTAATTGATCTAGTAATCCATTAACCTAAAATCAAAAACCCGATTTTTTTAGTCGCGACAGCATTGCCACAATCACTCCCACCAAGTATTAGTCTCATCAAATGTAACCTTTCTATTGACAACGGCTAAATTTAATTCTAGGCACCATAATCGATAACCTTGCTCACCTAACACATAGCCTAGGAATGCGCACTTTCTTGTCTTTCCATCGAGCTTAATATCACTTGCTCGAACATCACATGCAACCAAATATCCTAAGAATAAAATAATCAGCAATGTTATCTAACCACGCTTCTTTAGGAATATGACATCTAATCACAATCGATCGGGATCTATTAACCAAATAACTTGTCGAATTAAGTATTTCTGCTAGGAATTTCCTAGCCACAACAATAGTAGAAATCATTTTACGAGTTGTCTCTAATGATGTTCTGCTCATTAACTTTACAACTTATTGTGGTTTACTTCACTAGCACTAGTGCAGAACTCCATACAACTGTTACTTTACACATGTTTGATTATCTTACCGGTCTTCAAATCTATCAAAGCTCTTAGTTGCCTAATACTAACAACAACATCATACTTTTGCCTCAGTATAAACACTTAGATCTTCCCCAAGTAGTCATCCATTAGCATAAATCTGGCACTATTCCTCGAAGAAATTAGCGACAACTTGCAACATGCAAGTGAGACCACTTTGTGATCTCGGTGATCGTACTAAACTATGTTTTTTTTGTCATTTATGTAAGTTGCAGCACCTGCATACCTACGGAGTTTCTTTGCGAACATCCAATGTTTGATAACGTCCGAATATAATAAGCATTTAGATAAATACTATCTAATTGGGTATTCGATGAACACGACTAAACATTAAAAAAAAATGACCATGGAAGTTGTAAAACTGCTCACGACTCAACTTCTAGGCCCACCACAACCACCTCCGACGAGGGGCGCGATCTATCTTAAGGTGGGATTTTTGGTCTATATTCGGACCATATCCGGTGATATCCATATTTCACGTTCTTCCAAATACCGGATAGGAGGAGTTTTATCCAGCTCACCAAACATAATCTTATGGTTTTTGAAAATGAAGTGAACTCCTCAAGAATAAAAGCTGACTTCTAAAAGAATAAGAATTAGATCTCTTGGAATGATAACTTGGTCTTATCTGTCCACACTATTATATTTTAAAGATTTCAATCATGATCTCTTTCGTATGACGTTTCAATGATGAGGTAAGTTTACTTTACCATTGAGGACTCCATTTAACAATATTTTGTTTGAGCAATTGAAGATATCAAAATCGATTGCCAATTGATATATCAAACTGTTGAGTGGTCAATTGTAATCTGTGGACTCAGATACCCACTTGCAAAATTTTGTTAAACCCTGTTGAATTATTCTATAGAGAAGCATTAAAAAAGCATCCCTACTCTTTCACTAACAATGATTTGTATTCCCACTATAGAAACCTACAATTAAATTGGATGTAGCATAATACTTTGCTTGTTTTATGGATTTACCATTGTGCTTTCAAGATTACTCCTCTTACTATTATAAACTCACCACAGCGGAAACCCTAACCTAAATCACCTGATGCTTAACCATGTCCTCCTTATATATTTTGTGCTGCCGATAGCCAGCACGCCACTACCACCTCAGGTCATGCTTGCGAGCAACTCCTCTCTCTCTCGCGCATGCGCTTACACACAGACTAGCCGAGGGTTGTTGAGCCCATCGTAACCTTGAATGATGTCGCGACAATACGCTTGACGAATCGCCGCCTCTCTCCCTCCACTTGTCTAGATTTATCTAGAACCAAATAACTACAATAGGTAGTTAGTATTTGTGGTGTTGAAGTTTCTTACTGTCATTGGATGAAAACCTGAAATTCTAGGAGAGTCCACGTTGACCTCTTGTGGAGAACTCCTTTTGTGTTGAGTCGGTGGAAAATCGCCTATATATAGGCAAGAGTGCCCTGTCTTGTTGCTGTACGCTTGAGAACAAACAAACCACTCTTGTAACACACCCATACACAATATCTCTTGCTTTGCCTTTTGTTGCTCCTTTGCTTAAATCTCTTGCCACAGTCTTGTCTTACACACACTTTCATATTAGAACTCTACACTTCCAAAATCCAACGATTGGTATAGAGCCCAGGGGCCCGGGACTGTATTGGAGCAGGCAGTCAGGGACCGTGAACCTAGCG